AGTCGGGATGGCCGAGTGGTTTTAGGTGCAAGACTCAAGTTCTGGTCCTCGTAAGATGACGCGGGTTGAAATCCCACTTCACATCTCATATTATTATGAAGCAAAAAGGCGAGTCAAAGTGGATGGGAAAGCACAGTAAACAGTCAGGATTTTAACTTTTCACATTTAGGAAATGAAACTTGGTACACCATGGTGGATTATCAATTGAACTCGCCCCCCCGATTACAGGGGAAACACCGGGCTTGGATCGGAAAGCATCATTATTTATCAAATGAAAAGAACTTCCTAGATTTTAAGATTTTAACTTTTCACATTTAGGAAATGGAACTTGGTACACCATGGTGGATTATCAATTGAACTCGCCCAATTGGGCTTGAACCTCCAACCTTATGGTTAAGGATCACACGTTCTAACCAACTAAGCTATTCCAACTAATCATTTGTTACAATCCAAGACCACAATTAGTTGATATTGTCTACTTTAGTTCGTTAAGTATCGCTGTCACCCTCACGGTTTTATACCATATCTACTAAGGAGAGGTTTGCAGACCTTTGTAAGAAATGTTTCTTCATCTCTCCAATCAATGTGGGATTTCACAATCCACCCCTTCTGAGGGCCAAGGGTCCTCACTGGCACATTGCCTGGTGACTACCACTGATATCATTTGTAAAAGTCCAAGCGCACTACTAGCCGACATTGTCCATTTTTTCCTATTAGGTATTGCCATCAGGCTCACAGTTTTAAAACATGCCTATTAGATAGAGGTTTTTGCACCCTTATTAGGATTGTTTCATTCCTCTCTCCAATAGCTAGTTGATATTATCTATTTTAATCCATTACGTTTCATCATCAACCTCATATTTTTAAAACACATCTACTATGGAAACATTTACACACCCATATACGCAAAATTCCCCTCTCAAACCAATCTAGGAACACGCAATTAGCAATTAGGATGGTCGAGTGGTCTAAGGTGAAGATTTAAGTTTTGGTCCTCATAAGAGATCGTGGGTTCAAATCCCACTTCTGACATCTCATACGAGCCAAAGTGGATAATTATCTACAACCTAGGCTCTTCTTAGGTTGAAAGCATCATAAGTTTATCATAAAAAGTGATAAGAACTTGGTAACTTCATACCCCTCAATATCAATTGAACTCACTAGAGTTTTTAAAGGATTGAAACATGATTTTAAAACTTCAAAATTTGATGAGAATATCCTAGAAGTTCAAGTTGAAAGAAAATTTCTACTAAGGAGAAGCACCATCACGGTTATAAGGTATGCTTCACTTCATATAACCATCATTAAAAGGAGTTTGAACCTTCAACCTTGTGGTTAATAGCCACACAATCTAACCAACTGAGCTATTCTAGCCAATCATGTGTTGCAATCCAAGACCACCATGTGTTGATAATGTCTGCTTTTGTTCGTTACGTATCGTTGTCTTGTCTCCCTCACGGTTTTAAATCGCATCTACTAGGGAGAGGTTTTCAGACCCTTATAAAAAATGTTTCTTCACCTCTCTAATCGTTATGGGATCTCACTATCGACCCTTTCTGAGGGTCAAGCGTCCTCACTGGCACATCGCCTTGTGACTAGCTCTGATATCATTTGTAAAAGACCAAGAGCACTGCTAGCAGACATTGTCCATTTTTCCTCATTAGGTATTGTCATCCGTCTCACTGTTTTAAAACGCGCCTATTAGGGAGAGGTTTTCGCACCCTTATAAGGAATGTTGATAATTTTAATCTGTTACGTTTCGCCGTCAGCTTCATAGTACTAGGGAGACATTTACACACCCATATAAGGAATGCTTCATTCCCCTTCCAAATAAATGTGGGATTGCAAAATATGCAATTAGGATGGTTGAGTGGTCTAAGGCACTAGACCCATGTTTTGGTCCTTATAAGAGAGTGTGGGTTCAAATCCCACTTATAACAACAACTTAAATTATTGTGAGGCAAGAGGCGAGCCAAATTGGATAATATGTACTAACTTGGTAGATTTTAACACCATGATGGATATCAGGTTTTTAAAACTTCAAATTTTGAGAATATTAAGAGAAGGGCTTGAACACCTCCAACCTTGTGGTTAACAACCACACACTCTACCAATTGATCTATTCCAGTCAATCATTTGTAGGTATCCAAGCCCACCATTAGTTGATATTGTCTGCTTTTACATATCACTGTCACCCTCACAGTTTTAAACCGCATCTACTAAAGAGAGGTTTTCAGAACCTTGTAAGAAATGTTTCTTCACCTAGAGGTTTTCAGAACCTTGTAAGAAATGTTTCTTCACCTCTACAATCGATATGGGATCTCACAGTCCACCACTTCTAAGGGCCAAGCGTCCTCACAAGCGCATCACCTAGTGACTAGCTCTGATATCATTTGTAAAAGTCCAAGTGCACTATACCCGACATTGTCCATTTTTGTCCATTAGATATTGCCATCAGCCTCACAATTGTGAAACACACATATTAGGGAGAGGTTTCCGCACCCTTATTAGGATTATTTTGTTCCTCTCTCTAACACCTAGTAGATATTATCTATTTTAATCCGTTACGCATCGCCGTCAGTTTCACAGATTTAAAACACGTCTACTAGGGAGCGTTTACACACCCATATACGAAATGTTAAATTCCTCTCTCAAACCAATTCAAGAATAAACAATAAGTAGTCAGGATGGTTGAGTGGTCTAAGGTGCCATACTCAAGTTTTGGTCCCCTTATAAGAGGGCGTGAGTTCAAATTCCTCTTCTAGCATCCCATATTATTGTGGGCTTGTTGGGTCTTTTTTTTTTTTTTTAGTGTCAAAACATAATTTTTAAAACTTCAAATTGTGAGAATATCTTAATGTGAACCAAAACCAAACACCATTCTAATTTTATACATCATTCCCATTTCAAGAAGGAGGGCTTGAACCTTGGACCGGAGCTATTCTAACCAATCATTTGTTATAATCCAAGCTCACCACTAGTTGATATTGTTTACTTTCGTTCGTTACGTATCATTGTCAGCCTCACGGTTTCAAACCGTATCTACTAGGGAGAGGTTTTCAGACCCTTGTAACAAATGTTTCTTCACCTCTCCAATCGATGTAGATCTCACTATCCACCCCTTCATTTAAACTTTCATAAAACATAACCTTCAAGCTTAAAACACAGTCATGGACTTACGTGTTTGAAAACACTTTTAAAACGACACAACAAAAGACTAAATAAAATAAAAAAATGTTTAAATTCAAAACACCCGATTCTAGCCTAAGTCTAAGAAAATAATACGACTACCCTATTCACGTGTCATGGTCCTGAGTTGCGATGTCGTCGTTAGCCATACAAGAATGTATTACCTTAACCTGAAGTAAAGGTAGCACGTGGCTTGAGTATTTTAAGAAATACTCAGTAAGTGACCTCATTATTGAGGGTTACATACAAAAACATGCAAATGCAATGACGGGACCTATCATATCAGTCTATTTTTCCTACCGCACTATTCTAATGGGCAACTTGGATATGTACCATATACTCTACACACAGTCCATACATGCAAGTATGAGCTCACCAGACAGTTCGCACACCGTTGAGCCCCTTTTCCTAGCCTTCTCTAGTAGCTCAACTTTTGTCAGACACCCATTAGAATTAGTAACCATCACAGCAGCATTATGTAAAACATAACGATACTTCGCCTGCCTAATGGATGTATACGTCCGTACCCTCGTGATGGAATAGGGGTATCCCCCAATGCATGAGCGCACATAATGCATGAGGTCCCAACATTTTTACGTTTTCATTATCATTTAATACAACCCCGCTAGCATTCTGTACATATCATATCGTTTTTTATATCAATTCACATATCGTTCATCATTTATATCATATCGTTTCTCATTCTTCAGTTCTCATATCGTACATAATTCTAAGAGGGTTATATTTCATGTCATTTATCATGATTTCATGTCATTCATATCATGTTGTATACACACAATTTAGGAGACATAAACATTTCATCATATACATATCATACCATAACATATTGAGTCACAATATATCATATCATAAATATGTCAATTTATCACATATCTCGTACCATAACATATTTCATATCATTTTCATATCATATGACAACATATATATATCCGTCATTCACATGTCGTATCACAATCATATCATATCGTAAACACTTCGTGGTCATATCGTTTCCTAACTTATCATAGTCTTAACGTCCTTATACCTATCACCGTCATGTCGTCATATGAACGTACCTTAGTCATATCATCACAAGAACGTATCCTAATGCTATCATTCTATCAATCTATCACACACCTGTCCCTTTCTACCCATAACCTAACCGTGTTCTTTTATCAATCTCTCGTATCCATAGCACTTCGGTATGTATCCTAACCTTAACATTTCATGAACATATATGATATGTATCGAACAACGAGGCACGTGTCAACATCAAATATAATCATGTCAATAGTAAGGTCACTTACCTAGTTAGCTTAAGTTGTTGTCACGAATATATCCTTAATGAAAGTTCGATTCTTCTTATTTTTGTATTATTTTCTTGCGTCTTCTGTTTTTTTTTTTTTTTTTCCTTCCAACAAATTTTCTTTGCCTATTTCTCCTCCGTCAAACGATTTTCTCTCACGTTGATTTCCTCAGTCAAAAGACATCAAGTGGTATCAGAAAGTCGACCTAACAGTGCACAGGTCTCGGGTTCAAGGTAGAAAAAAATGCACCAAAGCATTAAAATACACACGTTGTGGGGTCCATCTCGGATAGGCTCACGCACTCCTCCATGTTGCTGTCAAGTGTCAGCAACTCCATCACCGCCACCAAGAGGCCCCCAAAAGGCCTCGTACCAATGGAGATAGTATTCCTCACTTATAAACCCATAATCATTCCCTAAATTAGCCAATGTGGGACTCACTCCCAATAGTCTTCAACAATCCTCCCCTCGAACAAAGTATCCTATAAGCCTCCCCTGAGGCTAGGCTTATGGAGCTCTCGAATAGCCTCCCCTTAATCGAGGCTCGACTCCTTTCTCTAGAGCCCTCGAACAAAGTACACCCTTTGTTCAACACTTTAGTCACTTTTGACTACACCTTCGAGGCTCACAATTCTTTGTTCGAAATTTGAAGATTCTATTGACATGACTAAGTTTAGGGCATGGCTCTGATACCATTTTGTGAATCACGACTCTTCACAATGATATAATATTGTTCACTTTGGGCATAAGCTCTCATGGCTTTAACACTCTCATGTAGGCCTCGAACAAACCCACCATGAGCTAACGATTTTCTAAGAACAAGTTGCAAAGTAGTCTCAATGTCTATCCCAAAATATCATCATAAGGGAATTTTTAATAATTTTTCATAACATACATTGCATTTATTTTCCCAAAGTATAGATATTAAAGCTTGGGAAACTACTTCATTGTTCCATTATCATTGATCCACTAAAGCTTGTAAAGTTTAGGATGGTGTTGGGTTGGAATTTCCAACCTTTTGATCAACATGGTACTTACTACATTGGTGCAACTTCCACTATCAATGACAAGACTACAAGGAGTCCCCTTGACTAAACACCACGTGTTAAACAGGTTATCTCTTTGATCATCAGTATCATTCTCCGTAACTTGAGTTTTAAGAAGTCTTCTTGTAATAAGTGCCAAATGACTCTCATCTTCCAATTCCTCAATGACTCCCATCTTCCAATTCCTCCTCTTTCTTCGGGACTTCTTCAACTAGCTCATTGAATCTCCCCTCCATTTCCCTCGTCTTGGTTCATGATTATACAAACAGTAGTTAATTATGATTAGGACCTCACACACTGAACTCACTGATCTTAGACTCAGAAGCACTCTTGTTTAACACACAAAGGTAGGCTATTTGGGAAAGTGACTAAATTATGATCAAGCTAATATATGGATAAAACAATTCTTATAGTAGCAAGGTATTCAAGGCAATCAAGATAAGTCAATTATGAAATAACAACAAAATAAAACAAAAAATGATCAAATAAATAAGGGACACAAACGAATTTTTTGGTAGAATTGCACATTGAAAATAAATTTGAAAAGTAAAGGCGGTTAAGATTTTGACAAAATTTCGTTCTTAATTGTAAAATATAAGAGAATGATCTAACTTTCCTTATTAGGTAAATTCAAAAGTTATCTTCGAATTTAAATTATTAAAGAACAATATCAATCACAACCGTTCCAAATTTAAATGGTTTAGAAAAAAATGTGAATTGAAGTTTATTTGATCTTCAAATAAACATGAGAATTGTCTAATGATAAGGATTTATAACCACCATATTAAGAATAAATATGATAAGAATTTTTTTTTTTTTAAGATCAAAGTATGATCTTTACGAAGAAAATTAGAAGATGACAAAGAATTGTGAAAATGTCAGCAAGAAACTAAATGGACAGATTTGAAGGAAAAAAAAAACATTAGCATAAATGTAAGATAAAATTAATTCTAGAATATGCCACAAACAAGCAACCTAGGCTCCGATACCAAATTGATAAGTCCATCTTAATTCTCCGCACAACTATCCAAGCTTTTGTTGAACCAAAAACCTTGAATCAAAGAAATTAACACCTCCTTCTACAAAATTCGGATCAACAAAGAGATAAGGCTAGAATTAGATTATCTATAAGCAAGATTTGAAACTTTTTTCTAAATTTAGTCACTCATCAATCGAACTTGATTCAGGCTTGATTGTGGAACCTTGTTCTAAATTGAGTCACTCAGCAACTGAACTTGATCGAGGCTTGATTGAATGGCTCAGATACCATCTACAAAAGAATTACATGAAACTTATAAATGACAAAGATGATGCTCGGAGTTGTAAAGGTAAAAGTCAATTTGAGATCTCAATTTCATTCCACTACACCCCTTCAAATGGCCAATCAATAAGTTACTGACCATGATTTAATCCTCATTCCCTTGAATCTCTACAAAAGAATGAAGTCAATATGACCAATGTCTTCCACTCTTTTACCCATTACAAGAATCATGAAAAATAATAATAAAGTTTTCTACCACTTATCAATAAGTGCAGTTTATAGCAACTTCATCCACTATTTCAACCGTGCAAATATTCACTTCTGAAGCTTCAAATGGTCCTTTATCAATCAAATCAGCTTGTAACACATGAAATGATGGTTGAACCGAGTCTATCCAATTTTGTAGATGAAGAACGAATGCTTGTTGAATCTTCTTGACCTTGAATCGTGTAATAGGTCCAGTTGGAACATTTGGAACACTGTGATCCTTATTAATAGGACATCCTCATGTCTATTTCTCTTTTACAGGTTGCTATGTTGTCCCAAAGGTTCGTCCATGGGACCGCGTCCAAGACAACTTGTATAACATACATCCATCTGTAGATGAAAGCTTGTATCAAACCTTGCAGACCTGTGAGATGACCCATTCGAGTTTTTCAGATCGAGGCGCCCTAGAGCTACCCTGCCCCTTGTACATGATGTTTTTCCCTACCGAGAGTCTAAGGTCACTACACGGGTACTACGATCTATCAAAACATATTACATTCAAGTAAACTCTAGATGCTCTAATCCTAGTGAGTACGTTCATCAATCCTTTCTAACATATAGAAATGCATAAAGCTAGAATCCCATAAATATAAATACTAAAGAGTTAGGCATAAGCAGAGTACCTATCACAGCAATGTCAAACTCATCGGTCTCCTTAGCCACCTTGTTGTGATGCTCTACGTTCTCCCTAATTTTGCGCTACAAGCCGATTAACATCCTTAATTTTACGTTCTCCCTAATCGGTCTCCTTGTCCCCATCAATTACTCACATTTGTGCTTTAGACTTGGAAGAGTTTTGTATGACCCTCTCCCCTACGATGAGCAGCTTGGGCAGTCTTGTCAATTTCTACCTGCTTCCCCCCTTATGTCTATGCATGTCTATCAATATGAAATTATGGAGTGCTTTTGAGTAATTTAAGGAAGCCTAGGCTATCACAAAGCCCTAAATCTCATCCGGAGCCTCACAAACACATTTTAATCTTTTATCCATATTCTTAACCTCCCCTTCCATTCTAGCTCAATTCACTCACCTAATGAGAACTATAATAATGAATAATGAAAAAAACTTAACAAGATATGTTCTCAAGACAATCAAGTAAACGTGGAGAAGAGTCCAATTCCGGCAGCAAGCACAAAATCGCAGAGGTTCTTAAAAGGGTAAGCACAGAAATTACAGCTAGGTCGCTAAATTAAAAGCTTTCGTTAAATTCAATACTATTACTTGAAGAATTGAAGAAACATGTGAGATTCCACGTTGGTTGGGGAGGAGAACGAAGCATCCTTAATAAGAGTGTAAAAATCTCCCCCTAACAGACATGTTTTAAAAACATTGAGGAAAACCCCGAAAGGAAAAATCCAAAGAGAACAATATCTGTTAACGAAAGACTTGGGTTGTTACAAATGGTCTCAGAGTCAGATACCGGACGATGTGCCAACCTCGAAGGGGAGTATACACGAGGCGGTGTGCCAGCAAGTATGCTAGGCCACAAAGGGGGTGGATTGGGGGATCCCACATCGACTGGAGAAGGGAACGAGTGTTAGCAAGGATGCTAGTTCTGAAAAATGGGTGGATTGTGAGATTCCACATCGATTGCTCCCTAGCATACGCGTTTTAAAAACTTTGAGGGAAATTCGAAAATGACAATATTTATTAGCTGTGAGCTTGGATTAGCTAAAATGATTTTAGACTAAAAATTCAAAACGATGGGTCCAAATTTAAAATTACACCCAAATTAAAGAACCAAAGTTTTAAATTTAACCTTTTTATTTAATGTGATCATCATTCTCACCATTCTTACAAATATTATTGTGCCAATTATACACTAAAAAAAAGTTTTCGATTCAACTTTTACAAACAATTCCCTAGATCTTAGCCCCATTTCAAGAATGGGTAGTTGTCGCTAAACTATAATTTTATATATACAGTTTGGTATTAAAAAGTTATAAATATTAAAATATACTACACTTTTTAACACTCATTCATCACTTGTTTATTACCAAAATGAATCTAGCCTGCTAAGCCACTTGTTTTAACTTGAACACTTTGGAAGAAGCAAGAATATTATTGTTAATCTACTTTTGGTTGCTCACTCTAATCTATAAACCAGAGAAATGATTACGAGTTTAGAAGAATGATACGTCCCTAGCGTCGTTCTAAAGGGACTTCAATTTTAATGTCAAAGTTGATTGGATTAGATTATTAGTTTTTTTTCTTATTACTAAAACTACTTCTTCACTCTATATTTTATATTAATAACTGAATTCTCTCCAATTTAAATATCAAATATTTAGGAGTGGCAACACATCACTAACCTTGCTTATAAACGTTAAGTATTTTTAATCTTTTTAAAAATAGGATTGGATGAGATTGTAACCTTATTTTTGGGTTGGTTGAGCTGGCCAAGTTGACTTGGCCAAAAAAATTGTCAACCCTAAAACTAAACCGAATTTTCGATTTTGGAATCGGGTTGGATCCATTATTTAGAGGAGATAATTAATATTTGAAGCTAGTAAATTTGGAACTCGAGAATGAAAAAGTTGGTTAAATTAGAAACTCGAGAGTGAAACCGAGAGAGAATTGAATGATGAGCAAAAAGAGTAATAAAAAATAGATAGGTGTGTGTGTGGGCGTGGGTGAAATGCAGAAACTTGTGGTTGCTTGGGAATACAAATTCAATGTTGGTGTCTGTTTTACTAAACATATTGTAACTCAAAACCTTTAACAATTTCGTGCGTTATGTAAAAAATATTATAAATTTTAATAATATTTTCTTTTAGATAAAAAATTTTAATAGTTTGTTTTAAAAATATTTGTATCGTTAATATTATATTTAAAAAATATCTATAATAATAAAAAAAATAAAAATTAAATTTTTAACATGAAATGTCCTTTTCAAACTCTTTTGATATTAATTATTTTCATAGTAATTTGTTTTTTCTTCTTTTTAATAAATTTGTTGGAACTTTTCTTGCGTGGTAGCCGTATAAATAAGATATAGATTTTTTTTTTTTTTTAATTTTTT